CCCCCCCCCCCCCCCCCTCTATTGCCTCCCCACCTCGTGCAATATTTTAGATCTACCACATCATATAATTACCACAACAAAGGCCAGTTGTATGAGTGGTGGATAGGTTATCGGGCGAATATTGGCATTAGTAGATTTAAACTACCTCAAGGCGTTAGAGAATATTACATCTTTGATCTTTAGACAGATAGCTCTGTCCACAACTGGCCCTTGTAGAACTCGATTTGTACCCTGGATAAAATTTATCAGCAGGATAGCGATATACCTATCTTCGACGATATATCGAACAGCCGCGGTGTCATGATAGGTATTAACTGCTCGTACATTTTCAGATCAATTGTACTTCTTTTGGCTATTTGATTTTTGAAGCATCATTAACTGACAATGCCTTTTCAATGCCAATGTATTTTAATTTTTTTTTGTGCAGTTTTTGCTGGTAACAAGTATATTGTTTTGAATATTTTAGGTACATGAACTTCTTTCCAAAACAAACAGAACTCTACGAGAAGATATTCGAAGTTAGCAGTACTTATTTTGAGAGCAGTGTGGCCAGTCACCGTGCAAATGCCTTACTGAAGATTGCTAAAATTATTATTGTTCTTCCTGATCCTGTTCAAAGAGCCTACAAGCATTACATGGTAAGATACTGTATGCATTATGTTTGCGGGATATGTTGGGGAGGGGACTAGCGTTGATGATTTTACGTATGAGCAGCACTGCACCCTAGCCCCACTTTTATTATATTTAAAGGGAAAATGGCGATAAAGGTTAAGTCTGTCTTATATCTGTAGGACCTTATAAATTTATATATGAAGACCATTGACAACTTTTCCGTAGCGTGCAGTCCGCCATCTTGGTTTTTGGTTCAATATGCATGAGGTCACAAATGGGCTAAAGATAAATTTTTATTCGGCCAGCCACATTTCAATATCCACCAGAAACTTGATTTTTAAGGCTTTGATAAACATGACCCATTTGTTAAATCACCGATCGAAATTGTTCCATAACTGCCTTGACACCAGGCACCTACAGTATACATTTTGCAACGATTTATTATAACAATATGATATGATATACGTCTGTATTTTTTGTTCAGTATTTAAAGAACCGTATTTCGTCGGTGGCACAGAAGTACTCATTTGAAGACTTTATAATGAAGAAAACCAAATCAAATGAAGCAAAAACGTTGAGAAATCAGCTGTTGACCACAGGACATTATGCTAATCATTTAACACGATGGATGTCTTACTATAGTGCACAGCAGGTGAATATACCACATTTTATTGTGCACAGAACTTAGCTGAACTCAGGTATCGATCGTGCGATAGCCAGATAGCGCCATCCACTGAATGGTGATTTTTTCAACTTTTGTAAAAATGCTTGGAAAGTGATGAAACTACGAGTATGGATCCCACAATTAATAAAAGGAAACTTTAATTTTTACATGCTATAAACTTTAATCGGGGTTACACCAGTGACGGCTAATATTTGGCCTACCAGCCAATTTCCCTGGGAGTTTCGCGCCCAAGAACGTTGTGGATCTCAGGAATATATTCTCAGCGGTCACGTCTATTATAAGCGGCTGGCTACAAAGCCGAGCCCCGATGGTAGCCGTGTAATAGAGGTTTGATTGTAACTAATAATAAGGCATAATGTTAGTAATGTCGTATGCATAGAGTATTTAGCCTATACTCGATCCTATTTCACCCTCTCTTCCCAACCCTCTATAACCCTTTCATGTAGAAAAGCTTGTTTCAACGACTTTTCTCTTTAGGTAATGATTATCAGCGATGACGATTTAATAAATCACACACGAACTGTGCTTGATAACATTCAAGATTTTGTCAATATTGAAAAGCCTGTCAACTACAATCAACTGCTCAGGTACCATTGCTAGCATATTCAAAAGCCAAAATATGCACCACGCATCAGCCGTCCAGTTTTCCCAAGTTTACTTCGATAGAGCTTTAAAAATTATCGTTTTCATTTACTGTGTCTGGCTTAATACGAATTTGCCACCCAAATCTGTGGATTTGTTAGCAGATTTCCTGCGTGTGACTGCAAGTTAGAATTGAATTGCAGGAATCAAAAGCAAGTGGTATAAATGCATTATCCGATTCTGTTACCAACGCAGTGATTCTTCTAGATGCGATTCACATGCAAGCTTTATTTTGGCGGTCTCAATATGCATGTGCACTGATAGAGTATCTTCTTTTCTAGGTACGACACGAGAGTACATATGTACTGCCCACTAAACACAAACACAGTTGAAGATTGTTACGGTTACAAAGATAGACATTGCAGTGAAATGAGCAAAACAGCGCGGGAATATTTAGAAAACTATTACGAAAAGCACAACAAGAATTTACTACGGTTGAATCAAAAAGTACAATTTAGTGTGCCAAAATGGCTGAAGGTTTATGGTTAGGTATATACATTAAAAGAAAATTATCGAAACGAAATATATGGCTGGGCAGGCTGGCTGCACCTAACCTACACAGCACTAATCATGGATGACACTTGGTGCTGTTCACCAGCGACGTATATAATTAATGACGTTTATAACCTAAAAAAAGGATACCACAGGGATAATTATTGGGCCAGGATATCAATATATTTATGAAATATTAAGCATTGAAAAGAAATTTTCATTAACAAATTATATGGCTGCCCAAAACATACAAAGAATTTACAAGCACTCCCAAAACACTCTGCTTAAAATTTCCTAGAAATAATTTGTGCATGTTAACTTAATATTCCTGGTTGAAGTTCCCGGTTATTTTATCTCACTTCTCACCATAGTCTTGTTGAGGTAACGAGGAATCTGGGGTCCTTAGTTATTTATCCAGTTCAAATTAGCTAGATTATAGTAAAAGGTTAAAATAAGCAGGAAATTTAGGCTAACAGGAATATTAAGGTAACTCAAATAGTAACCCAATATGGCTATTTTTACTAAAGGTTCATCGGTTATTAAGATTGTGACAGTAAATTTTCAAAATGCACGACGATGTGAAGTAGAATCTCCATTTACAGATATATGGTTTAACGCAGGGATCGAGTTTTGACCCAATATTCAAATTTTTAACAAATGCTTAAAAAAATACCAAAAGCGAAGTACCAAAAGTCTATATATTCAAATGTAATATCAATATTATATATAAAAGACATACATATAGTTTTATTAAATCGTATTTATTGATTATTGGCAAAAGACAATAGTTATTATGTGTATAGAGAAATATTTGTACAAAGAATATAATATATATTTTTAGTTACGAACACATATCTTATTCAATTAATAATTATTAAGTTTCTTGGTTTCAAGTAGTTTCGACACCAAGAGACTATTATTATTATGTTCCCCACTTGCACGTCACACGAGAACTTCAGTGTATACCAGTATTTATCCACTTTACTGACATCTCTAGACACTCCTGCAACATCTTGATTTTTCTAATTTGCCTCAAATGAAGCTAAATTGAAGAACTGCTCTGCAACTGTCTGTACGCAGCGTTAATGCCCATAAATTCTAACGGTTGTACGGTAATGCTTTGTTCTATTTTATGCTTTATTTAATTAAATGTGCGTGCTTTAAAAGGAAATTGCAACAAAAATTATCGTTGGCTTATTTGAAAGAATGCTCGGATTATTTACAAATATTTAATAAATTCTCCCAAACTATCTTCAATTTTGAGATATTTGGAACCAAAGCATCCTGTCATCCGTCATTTTATAGTTAGATCAGACAAAACCAGGGCAAACGTGGCAAACTAAAAAACATTATATAAACGGAAAGCTTGTACATAGCTTGTGTTTTAGTTTAAAATAGGCAAGAGTCCGAAAAATAAGAAAATGCTCAAGATAAAAAATTATTTTACCCAGACTAAATATCACGCATATCTGACAATATAGTTATTCATATCCGAGATGGCGCAATGCAATGAATACATGATGATTTTGTTTTCAGTGAACGGTAATATCTTTTATACCAAGAACGATAAAGAAAGTCTCTTTTTAATAAGGTTTTGAAATGTGTTGAATATCTCTTCCAAATCGAGGAAAATTAATTTCTATTACTATTTCCCTTTAACTAACTGAAAAATATATAAATAACGAATGTTTATGAGTGCAATGGTAAAATAATTTCATGAGATGAGAGATGGAATTTTTTAACGAATGAAAATATTTTTACTATTGCACGAATGAAAACATTACTTTTATAACACCAAAATAGTGGATCAATTTGATCGAATTTTTAATTGAATTAAATACAAAACAAATGGATACCTCAATTACATGTATTATATGGAAAAATAATGATTTTTATTACTTTTCTTTATTTCTAATTAATAAAAATATTTATTAATGTAGATTCCCCCCAAAGATGACGTAGTTGGTGCATGGCCCTTATATGTCGAACATGCACACATCATTAATGATAACAACTTATGTACACACTTGATATAATTGCTTTTTATTCATTACCCCTGTGCTAATCAACTATATAGCCACATACTACTCTATAACCTACAGACTTGCAAATTACAATTGAATCGAGATCAAGTAAGTGCGATGTCTGTACTACACAATTCTAACCGTTATACAGTATGTAGTACCCAAGGTCCCCAGCTAAATAATTCCCAGCCCTTATTTAAAATACTTTAATTAGTTACTATTGTCAATTATGTAACGATAGAAGATCGAGAATCTGAATTTTAATCCGCCAGAAATTGAGAAAACAATAAATTGAATTGCCAAAACTGCAGATCCTTTTTCTTGCTAGTAAAAACGCATGCAATGTTCTTTCGTTAAAACGTTCATTCAGGAATGCGATTATATCCCTAACGTCGTAAAATCGACATAGTGGAGACGGCGACGCCTGATCCGCGAGAAATTATATTGACATACATAAAAAATATTTTCACATTTTATCAATAATAGGCATAAAAATGTAGTCGAATTCCTAAATGTTTTGATACGAAAATATGACACGGTTTTGGGAGCGAAAAGAAGCATCCACGTTTTTGGTAAAGCAATGATCCAGTCGTTAAAATTAATCAGCAAATTTTCATAAGATTTTTGCATATTGATTTCGTCTCAATAAAAATTATAGACATTTTGAAATTTTCAGTGTTTGCAGACCAAATGACGATTAACTCTGTGTAAATAAGGCATTAAAATCCAGTTTCCTTCTGATTTTGTACTTCATTTAGATGACAATATAAATGAACATCACTTTCTCTCTCCCCAGGTCTTTCGAGAGCAGTGTAGGTCGACTGTTCATTATCTACTTGTTCATAAATGGCGTCATCGCTGTCACGATTATCATGAGTATCTCGTGAATTATTTGTCCTCTCCACGTTTGCCCTAGTGGACTCACTGCTTGATGAATGTAGTCGACGATTTTGATAAACCAAATAAGCAATAACAACAAATGAAATGACGAACAATATTGCTATAATACTACAATTCCAGCAAGATTTTTTTCAGAACAGTCATCGTTTTTGTTGGTACCTGAAAATTGGTGGTTACGAAGAACAACATGTATTGTTAATTAAACAATATACGAGTGATTCCTTGCTAATCTGCAGGAATAGGGACTTTTTTATTTACGATGGTATAGAAATACAAGCATGCAGCAACCATCGCCTATCCCGGCCTATACTTCCAACACTGATTTAACATGAAGTATTATACAATTACTTTATGATTTCCGTACGTGTTTGGATGGCCTGATCCAAACACGCGGGAATGTTGCGAGAGTTAAGAAAAGCGCGCGAAACACGAGCCGAAGGCGGGTGATTTTGCACGCTTTTCTTAACTCGAGCAACATTCCCAAGTGTTTGGATCAGGTCATCCAAACAAGGAAACCATAAAGTAATTGTTTTATAAAATAACAACTTTCCGTGTTAAAATTTCACTTTATAAAAAACTTTCACTTTAAATTTCCCTGTTTGGATGGCCTGATCCAAACACGGGTTTCGACCAATCAGAGCACGCGTTATATACATGTTATTTTATAATAGTATTTTGCCTGACTGAACGCAGGCTCGCGTTGTGTGGTGCCATAGAAACACGATCATTTTTAATTTTTTTTCAATTTGCAAAATATCAGATATAAGAATTTTTCATTTTACGATATAAATTTATTTAATAATATGAAGAATTAATATGCTATATTCCAATGCATATAGTATATTAATTCTTCATATTTCTTAAAAGCAAAATTGTTTCAAAGCTCCTGGTATGAAACAATTTTCCAAATATATGTTTTTGAAAATTGAAATATTGCTTATCCCACTCCAGGCAAATAGTCATATTTTAGAGATCAATGAGGAGGTCGAGGCCCACCCATACACCATGACCATGCATGAAACCACTTTAGACTTCGCTAATGCTTTCTTTTCCCCAGGTATAAATAGCTGAGCGGAATTAGTGCCTTATATTCGCCCCAGGTTTACGCTTTTTTAACTATGTTTTCTGTAACAGCCGAAATTTTTTTCATTTGTTATTATATTCTTTGCATTAATTAATTTTTATATTTATTATTCCGTTTTTCCCATGCATTTTGATGGTAGCTTGATTGCAGTTCCGTAGAATTGAGGAATATCAATTTAAAGGATGTTTCTGACTTTCCGTAATTACCGAAATTTTCCATAGTTTTAGGATCTTTTCAATCTACTTGGACAATTGTAGAAATTCTATAAGATTGATTTTAAGCTGATATGCGTACTTCCTAGATAGCCTCAACCATCGTTCTAAGGGGCTGTTTACATGAGCCGGGCTAGCCGGGATAAGACGTTTGCCGGGCTGATGAAAATTGGCGGGAAAAACTTGTTTACGAGTTAACAGTGTAACGTCTGTCACGGAAGTCGAATTTGTGCTTTATTGGCAAATTTAATCGATTAAAACTACTTTGTCAGCAAGATTAATTGAAGA